CGTAGAAAGGAAACGAAGAGGTAAAGTTAAGTGTCATATTAAGTTACTTGTCCGACCGTACGGTAACCCGTAAAACCGTAAGGGCGGAGAAGTAGTAATACTTCCAACCTCCTCTCTCTCTCTCTCTCTCTCAAGTATACAAACTCTGTGCTCTAGCTTCACTTGTATTTTCTTTTTCCCATCCTCTTGCTTGTGGCATCTCTCCTCCTGGAATGTCTACTCTTCTCACTTCAGACTATTGAAATCCTGCATATTCTTCTGGGCCCAGTTTATATGCCCCATGAATGGAAGCCTTTTTTTTTCTTCCCCTCCTTCCTCCAGCTGGAAATGATCATTCTTTTGACTGAGTTCCTAAAGTTCCGTTTTCTGGATTCTTGTGGTCTTACCACTCACTCTCATGACAAAGCATATACTGCCTTATGCTATAATTATTTATACATATGCCACTTCCCTAGTTAGATTGTGAGCTCTTAAAGGATAATGTAAGACTGGTTGTAAATTTTTTGTTGCTGATAACAATTATAGGCAACTAAATATTTCGCAGAACCACAGAAGTGGAAAAGAATTTAGAGATCTGGAATGTCAACTCATTTTATGAATAAATACACAGATCCAGTGTGATTAAGTGATGCTAGAGTCATATAATAAGCTAGCAGCAGAATTAGAACTATAACCTCATTGTCTAGATCTCTAATTGCTAACTAAGTGTAGTCATAAAATCTGACATCTGCTTAATTAAATATTCTGGTTAATCTGGGGTTAACTAACCAGAGAGAGGGCACTTACTGTTTTATTCTTGTTGAAAATTTTTATACATATCTTTTGGTCCTGAGTAATTAGGTGAATTTTGTCATAGGTAATTTCTTTCTTTTTCTCTTTTTCTTTTCTTTTCTTTTCTTTTTTTGACAAATCGGGATATTGAGTTTTCTGGGTTTTGTCAAAAACTGAGCTGGATAATAGTTTTCTTCCAAGGCCTCAGGGACCCACAGATTATAGGTGAGAAAAATAGAGGCAACTGTACTGGCAAATGCCCTAATTTCAGGGGGGAAAATTTAAGTCAATGATATAATGTATTTGGGGGTGATTCTTTTTCTTTTTCAGTAGTAGGGTGCATACAGGACTGGACAGGCCCACTTTAGCTAGGTCCTAGTTAAAATTTTGCTGTTTGATAATTGATGATTTCCCTGAGTTATCTAGCTCTTGGCAGTCATTTCCAGAATATTTGAGATAGCGCCATAGATTCGTCATGTCTAAGGGGTTAGAAACTCCAGGAATATCTATCAGGAGAAAGTTGATCTACAACTATTGTCTGTTTAGGATTTGTTGAATATCATGTGTGCCAGCCACTAATCACAAAAGCCAGATGCCATTCTTTTCCTCACCCCCGACTTGAGGCACTTGAGGATGGATGGGCAGGTGCTTAAGAGGCTGCCTCCTCCTCTGAGATTTGGTTTTCATCAGGGCTTTGCCTCACAATATAGGGCTACATAATAGCAGATGGTCTGGTGCTGGCTTGCAGTCTCCATTGGGCAAAGCTATTGCTAGATAAGCAGTGTATGGTGGAATGAACCGTGACTGACCAGTAGGCTGGGGTAGGCTCCACTTCATGCCCATCACTTTTGGTATTATCAAAAATAGAAGCTGTGGTCCCCAGATCTTAGAGAGTAAAAATTTATTGTACTCAGTGGTGTTTCTGCCTTTGCCTGTTTTTTCATTGCCACCTGGCTGCCATTGGAGGGAATTCACTATAGCTCTGAGTCCCTGCAGGGGGTTGAGAGGAACTATCCCTGTTTCCAGGACAGGGTGGGTGTTCTCTTCCATTAAGACTGTTACCCATACTTCCTTTTATTACTTGTTAAGTCAGAGACAGCTGGGAGGATGCATTACTCACCAGACACACATAGTGGCCCTGACTGAAGGCAGGGAGTCTGGGCTGAGATGAGAGTGAGTCAGCTCAGGGAATGGAAAAAATGCAGGCTAGTGGGGGTGGGGGTTGTGTGCCGGTGACTGTTCCTTCTCTGCCTGCTCTTTTCTCTATAAGGACTCATTACAGAGATGTGAATACTGGACATCCAGTTGGGGCAGCCAGTAAGCCAACCGAATTGTGGTAATGTTTCTTGTGAAAGGAACAAGCTGAGTGGACTTAGCTTTGTTGTCTTCTGTGTTATGGGTATATATGGGTTTCGAGGCAATCTTGATCTTGTATAATAAAGTTCTGTGTGTGAGAATTTCACTAGAATAAAGCAGTCACAGAATCTCTTTGTCTTGGTTATGAACTTCAGTCTTCTACGTCTATCTTTGTCCAGTAGGGGTCACTGGGGTATTAAGCTCTAAAGGAAAGAATCTGTCACTAATCCTGGAATAGACCAATAGATTCCTTGTCTTTATTGTGGCCTTTTTATACAGTGAGTACTATCTATTTTTTCATATTAGAGCAGAAACAAAAGATGTGGACTTGCATTAAGAACTTTGTGAACTTACTGAGTATTTGAAAAGCAGATTATTCAAAATGCCAGTAGGTGAAGCAAGAAATAAAGGCTGAGATGGAATTGGTTTTATGAATAAGATTTTAAGAGCAATTTTTAAAGAAAATGGAAGGAGACAGGGGAAAACAGTTTATTAAGCATCTGATGTGTACTTACATAATTTACATATATTCATTATTTAATCTTGACAGCAACACTGAGAAACAGGTGTTTATATACACATTGTACATACTAGGAACCAGAAGTTCAGAAACATTAAGTAGCTTCCCTAGGGCTGCATAATAATGAAGTGATACTAGCAGGGGAGATCCCATTAGACATGTTTCATTTGACTTTGGTCCTTGGATCCTGGTAAGGGGTCATGAGAGCAGAAGGTGTTGTTAGAAGGTAAGTGGAGCCTGGTGGTGGACTCTCCTGAGAAAAGCTAAAATGATTTTTGTACTGGATTAGGGTTTGGAGCAAGCTCCAAGGGTCTGCAAGTGGAAAGAAGCTGACAAGTCTGTCTTTGTCTTCAGGGGCAAGTTTTACCTCTTTTTCATTTAGGGCTACTGCCAGGATCTGGAAAACTGTCTCAGAGAGATCTAAAATTAGCTCTTTGTTTGTGTGCAAAGCTTGGTTTCCATGGATAAATAGTTCAAGTTGGTCTCTCTTACCTACCTCTTGACATGGCCTGGACTCTTCTCCTGAGCCTTGAATGTTGTTGCCTACTGGTTGTCAAGCCTGCCCTGTTTCCTCATTGTTGACTCCCAACCCCTTTTGTCAGCTACATGCCCATTCTGCTCTCTGATATTTGGGGTGTCTCAGGAAAACTAGAGTTGATCACGTGTTCCTTAGCCAGACCATGCTAAAAGACATTTCCCATTGAGACCATTTTTTTGTTTTTATTTGGAAAACCACTTAAAAAATGCATTTAGGCAGGATTCGAGTAAGATGTTAACTCTCCTTCAGTGTGCTTGGAATGATAGATATTTGGAATGATAGATATTTCTGGACAAAAATAAAAACCTTGGCCAAATTCAGAAGCAGCTCCCACAGATAAGGCTTCTTTATTCTTGTATCTTCTTTTTTCCATTTACTTAAGATACTGACTCTCAGAGTATCCTGGAAAAAATTTAAGAGCTAGATCTTGTTATTTTATTTTTTTGATGGAAATGGTCAGAACTCCAAAGAGAGGGGTTATTTAAAATGGTAATATAGATATAAGGTTGACGAAATATTCTTATCTTTTTCCTTTTTGAAACAGTGCTATTGAAGCCCAGTTTGTCTTATTCACTGAGTTGGTGATGTGGAGTTGTTAAATACCACACACTCTACCTTGACTTACCTCCTTGCATTGGCTATGAAGATGACCTGATGCTCTGCTAGGGCATAAATGCTCCAGTGTGGGAACAATAATAATATTTAACATTAATGAGGGAATGTTTAATTTTAAAAAAAATAGTTAATAGTGAATTCTTCCTCTGAGCTGAATAATCCATCCATTTTCTCACCTAATCCTCACTGTAACACTGTGGAGAGGTAATTTTATTATCCTCATTTTACAGATGGGGAAATTGAAGATTAAAAAGATTAAGTAATTGGTTCAAAGATAACAGCTAGAAACCATCTAGCTGTTATCAGATTCTGAGTCTAAGTTTGGCTAACGGATTATGTTAAATTTAGAGTTCTGGGACGAGGAGGAGAGAGGGAAAGAGAAGAATGGGGCTTGGGGAGAGTTTGGCTGTTGGACAGAATCCGTATCTGGAGAGACTTCTAGAAGTGGAATTTTTGAATCAATAAATTAACTTTCTCTCTTAAACTCGCAGGTAGATTTGGAAGTTTGCTATTAAAAGTTGCCCGGCAATAAATGTGCAAAATATAAAATCGTTTTTAAAAAAATGGCCTAGCCCCTTCATTAGTGTATGTTATCTACTGGGCCTGTCTGGAGGAGCATATCGAGTTATTCCTGTTATAAAGAGGAATAGTTTTCTAGGCACTTGCTCTCTGGTATATGTTTTTGTGGTCAAAAAAGATGCATTCTCAAGGAATTCTTGTATTTTGGGAATTGTCATAGTTTGTTGGACCCAGTTTTGCTCTTTCTCGTACGCTTCCCCCTTGTACTCCTGGCCCTCACAGTGCTTGCTCTTCAGATCCTCTTGCTCTTCCGTTCATTCGTGCATTCATTTATTCACTCATTCCACAAATGGTTATTTAGTGATGAGACTTTATACAGGAGAGCAGATACCCATCTAGCTTCAAAAACTTTAGTGAAGGAGTAAAAATATACACACGACTATATTATAAAGTAGAAAGTGCTAAATGTCAGTAAAGAGAAACATGAAGTATAATATAAGCTCACGGGAAGGAGAAGTTTACTTCTAACCGGGAGTCAGCAGGGAAAAATCTGTGGAAGTGTTGGCTTAAACTGGTCCATAGGAGTTGAATTTTGGCATGTGGAAATGAGAAGGAAATACATTCCAGGGTAAGTGAGGGAAATATTGTAAAGCCAGAGAGTTTTGGACTTAATTTGCTAACTGTGGGGAATCGAACATTTTAGAATGAAATTACAAATGAGCATGTATTTAGCATTTAAGATATACCAGTCATTATGCATGCTTCAGGGAGATTAATCTCACAGCGAGTGAGGACAGGATTGGCAGGTTGGAGACTAGGATTAAGTAAATTAGATTTGGTAATTTTGGTAAATTATCAGTTTACCAAGGTTTTGTACAGTCTGAGCAGTGTTCAGAAGTCTCGTGATCAGATGTAGTTTGTTTGCTGTTCCTCCAAATTATGGTAATAATAGGCGATATTTATTGAGCACATATTGTGTGCCAGGTACTATCTAAACACCTTAAATGAATTAACTCATTTAATCTTCATACAACTCTGTGGGACAGGTACTATTGTTATCATCGTTTTACGGATGAGGAAATTGAGGTTCCTTGAAGTCATTTAAGTAACTTGCCCATAGGTGCTAATGTGACCTATATAGTAGAGTCTGGATTTGAACTCAAGCAGTCTGGCTTCAGATTGGGCCTGTGATTACCATGCTACTAAGATGCTCATGGCATCTAGGTTATTGAGCAAGAAATTTGAATATTTTCCTAACTGTATTGTATTTAGTGACTCTTGGGTATGTAGAAAATTCTTTGCAGGCATTCTGAGACTTTGCTAAACCTTGGAGATGGGAGCCATGGATGTCTCCTGACTAGCTTCCGGGAAGCCCATATCCTCTGCCTTCTGGAATCATGGGAGGAAGCAGATGACAAATGCTCAGGGCCAGGCTTTGATGCCTGGACCTACTATTCCCAGGAACTCAAGGTTTCCAGTCCTGTCAGTCAGTCAGATCCTAGGCTCTCTACCAAAATTTTAATCTCAGGGATATTTATTGTTTTAAGAAAAGTCTCTCTTTGTAAACATTATTTTTCTAGATTTCAGTCTTAATCGTGATAGGTCTTTATTTTCAGTCTGTATCTGCTAAAGTTCTGGTTCTTGTGGATGTCAGTTATTTTGAGACCAAGAATAACTGCATGGCATTTTGAATAAAAATGCAGCCTCCTTTCTCATAGGCTTGATTTCATATCAGTCACACACACTAAAGCTATCCTGAGATGTTGCCTTATTTTGAGATTTCTTGTGGGTAACAGTTGTGGGTGACCATCTTAAATGTTTGTGAGTGAAGTAATCTGATAAAAAGGCAGGTCTCAAGTCTTAACGAAGTTCAGAGTCTTGCTTCTGCTCGGCTTTTTGGTGGTTTGGAGCCCTTCCCATTGGTTGTTAGCAAGGGATATCCTGGGGGGTGCTAAATATGACTTTAAATGGCTGTTCTTTGTATAATAAATGATCTCTAAAAAGAAAACTAGTCGCTCCACCCTTCCAGCTCCTAACCACTTCCTGTAAATGACAGCGCACAGATCCATCTTAGTTTTGCCGAGTGAAGAAATTATTTTCACAAAGGCAGTTTCCCTGTCCTTCTTTCTTCCTTCAAACATGCACTGATACATATACACAAAGGCTGGAAACAAACTTTTTACCTGTCATGGGAAGAAAAATGGGTGTATCCAAGGCATAGAATATCATTTTATAAAGATCTTATAAAGAGTAAATTACTTTGGATTCTTTTTATTATCTTCTCTAATAGTACAGTAGATTCAGAATGTATCTTGATATTTGATTCAGAATGTATCTTGATATTTGAGTGCTTCAGATTCTTTTTCCTTCAAATTTTCTAAGTATTTTTGAATGGTGCAAGCATGATGTGTGATTTTCTAATTAAGGCAGCTTTGCAGTGGCTTCGGGTAGCAGAATAAGTTGGAGAAATGGCTTTCCCTTTGGGAAATGAAAATATGGTGAAGATATTTATAAGATTGCAAAAAGTGCTATACAGTGATAGCACAGACATCACTAGCACTGTAATGTTTTGTGTTGAAATTGAGATTCTTTCCTTAGAACTGAGTAGAGCTATTTTAAGTCTTATAAAGGGGAAGTCTTCCAAACATATAAATATCTAAAATTGTTTAGCTTCAAGTTAGCATACTTATGTTGCCAGCACTTTTCAGCAAAGGGAGACAGTGTGATTAAAATATATTGATTTGAAATCAGACAGATGAAAGTTCAGATGTTGGTTCATCCTCTTTGTGACTCTGGGCAAAATGAATTTTCTGAGTCTCAGGTTCTTGATTTATAAAATAAGGATATTTTAGGGGATATTATAGGAATTACATTGAAGTAACAGATGTGAAGGTGCTTTCTAGTAGCTGCTCAATAAATATTAGCTTCCTTTCCAAGCAAGCCTGTCTTCTTTGACCACCACAGGAGCTTCTTCATGATGAGAGGTGTGTCGTCATCATCTTTGTGCCCACTGTGTCTAGATTAATGCTCCATGTCTTTTAGTGGGATGAGTGAATGATGTGTTCTGTTTCACAAGAGAGCTCTGCTCCAGCACAAGCTCTGGCTTAGTCTCCACTAGATTGCACCATTGATTTTTTTCTCCCTAGTGCTTATTTCCTTCAGCAAACGTGATTACATTTCACATGTCAAGAAAATTTCTATTTTGACCCTCCATCCCTCTCTCTGCTCCCTTTCATAGCAAAATTCCTTCCTAAAAAGAGTTGTTTTTAGTTTTTGTCACTGATTCCTCCCTTTTCTCTTGAATCACTGCAGTTAGGCCTTTTCTCCGCTGTGCCATCAAAACTGCCCTTGTTCGAGTCACCAGCGACCCCTACATTGCTAAGTTCAGCGATCAGTTCTCAGTCGTCATCATGACACGGTAACAGTTTAGTTACTACTTCTTAAAGCACTTCCTGGCTTCTGGGGCAGCATGCTCTTTGGGTTCTTTTCCTAATCCACTGGCTTCTTGTTTGAATCTCTTTGGTGGTTCTTCCTCTTCCTTATCTGATGTTGTAGAGTTCCTAGGGCTTAGTCCTTGAACTTGACCTCTTCTCTCTCTCTCTGTTTATTCCGTAAGTGATCTCAGCTAATTTCCTGATTTTAAAACAACAGCCTGGGTCTCTCCTGGAACTCCGGATTCATATGTTTAACTTCATTTTCAGAGTTCCACTAAAATGTTTACTGAGCGTTTCAAAGTTAATATATGAAAAGGGAATTCCTACCCTTTCCCCTCAAAAAACCCAAGCAACTACAACCACCAGTGAACCCCAAACCCTCTACTTATCTGGCAGCCTTCTCCTTCTCAGCAATTCTGTCCTTTTAATTTCTCAGGCCCAAAACCTGGAAGTCATTCTCAACTCTGTTCTTTCCCTGCTCACCTGACATCCAATCTATCAGCAGATTCTGATGATTCTTTATAATTTGTCCAGAATATGACCACATCTCACCATCTCTACCACCACACCTGGGTCTCAGTTATCATCATTTCTAGCTACCAATTTTCATCTGGATTATTGTAATGGCATTATAACTAGTTTCCCTGCTCCTGCTGTTGCCTCTCAATAGCAATATAGCAACAAGAGTGATCCTTTTAAAGCCTGAGTTGAATCACATTACTGTATTACATGAAACCCTCCAAAGGTTTCCTATTTCATTTAGAATAAAAGCCAAAGTCTTTACAAATGGCCTATGCAGCCATAGTGATCCAGCTCCCTCTCTGGTCTCACCTCCTCACACTCCCTTTCTCTCTTTCAGCTTCAGCCATTCTAGTTTCCTTAATGTTCCCTGAGTACATCAAGCCTACTTCTGCCTCAGGGACTTTGCACTTGCTCTTTTGTTTGTTGTCTAGATAACCACATGGCTTGTTGACTCCTACTTTGTAGGTCTGCTCAAATGTCATCTTACTAGAGAAGTCTTCCCTGACCATCCTATACATAAAATTGTGAACATCCCCTCCTCTGGCTCCCTTTCTCCTCTTCATCTCCTTTAGTATTCTGAATAGCATTTATGTGACAAACTATATATTTGCTTGTTTGTATTTATTTTCTGTTTTCCACTATTCTACTAGTATATAAGCCCCATGAGAGCAAGGTCTTTGTTTTGTTCACTACTGTGTCTCCAGTACCTAGAACAGGGCCTGGCACATAGTATATAGTAAATATTTGATGAATGAAATGTAGGTTAGCACAAAATTATAGATGATCTTGAAGCCAGATTAAAACATTCATATTGTATTAATTCCTTCATCAAGGGCCCTTTGCTATTTTTCTGGTTAGTAGATTGTTCAAATCTAAAACCCTTCTTTTTTATTTAAAAAGGGGGCAATAACTTTAGAGATATTAAAGCAGTTTACATTTCTAAAGCTTATTTGTGACAATACAGCATGTTTATATACCATAATGTAAAAAGGCACTGTAGAAATAAATAAAGAGCTAGTTTGGTAGAAAGATGAGGCTATAACCCTTCTCTGAGTGATGGGTGTTGGACGTACTCTTGGCCATTGGGTCTTCTGTGTTACTGTGTATCCATACTTCATTTTGTAAGTACCTCTTCATAGGAAAGTAGATGAAGAGAGGTGCAGTGGCACTGCAAGAACTTTGCATGTTCAGCTTAGGTTGTGCAGGCTTCTTTCTTTAAATAAATTTGCCAGGTTTATTGAAATGTAACTTAATATACAGTAAAATTCACCCTTTGGGGTCTACAATGTTGTGTTTTGACAAATGTTTACAGTCATGGAACCATCATCACAAT